GATCTGAACCCGAAAATCTCTAATTAAAAATGGAGGAATTCTGACCATCCTACTAAAATCGATGTTGGTAAATTAAAAGAATAGTCATGTCTTGTAACTTTGGTTTTTTGGTTCTAGCCCAACGTAAGATACAATTGTAATGTGGGAATTAATAAATATGAAGAATATGATGGCATATTATGCTCTCTCTTTTTAAATTTTAATTCTTGAATTACTATTATTATAATATATTACTATTCGTATACCGTTGAACTACGAACAAAAATTCATTATTGGTTTATTAAAAAAAGGAAGTTGCATATAAGAGGTAAGATACCTTTAATGGGGAGATATTTAGTGAAAATCGTATGGACTTGGTCTAAAATGGATAATATTAATTATTTTAGTGTGAGGATTTTAATAAAAACTGCTAAATGGATAATATTACGAATAGAATTATAAATGGTCAATTTTCAGCCCTTGTAATTGAATTTTGAATATCTTGAAGTTTCAAATTCCACAATTAAACTGAAAAGACATTGTCATAGAGTTTTAACAATGGAATTTTAAACTCTATATATAATATTGATTAATTTTCAATCTCATTTTCAAAGTTAAACATGAATTAGATGAGTAATTCAATATTTTATATTTAAAATTTAAATATTCAGAGCTTATCTATAATTTTTAACTTTTCTCATGTTAATTTTAGGAGAAAACATATTTTTTAATTAAATGCTAGTCAAATCTCACAAAATTTAATTCTCGAAAAAATAAAACATGACAATTAATATGTGACATAAATAGTATTATTTTTATTTATATAAAAGAGAACAACAACCAAGCAAGAGTTTTATATGTTGATTAAATTAAATCTTGCTTAATCCACCAACCAAACAAGCACTAATCTTCTTTATTGCTTCATCCACCAACCAAATATCAATCAAGCTCTAATCTTGTTTATATATCTTTTCCATACATTTATCCAAACAAAAAAAAAATATCCAAACAAAAAAGTCAACAAAATTCTCTCCAAATTTTCCAAGATGATCACCATAGCAACAGAACAAAAAGTCATAGTAAAAGTGGAATCTCCAACATCTGAATTTCTTGTTGAAATAAAAGGAAGTGACAAAGTTGAAGAGTTAATCAAGATTGTGAAAAAAGCATGGGGAAGTGATTATATGTTATTAAGGCATAATTCTGTCGAAATGAAAGTTGATGAGAGTTTATCTAAATATGATGTTAAAGATGGTTCAATTATCAGAGTCAATGTCTTTGCTGAAGCTCCTTGAAAAAAAACAAAAAATTGTAAGTGATATGAACTTATAATTTGTTTTAATTTGTGAGATGTGAATAATATATGTTGTTACGGGTGGATTCAATGGGTTGAATTTGTTGTTTTTAGCTTGATATGTAGATACGACTGTATCTAAAAGAAAGAACTTCTGTTTGTTGAACTCATTTTGAATTTACTAGTTATAAGTTTTTCGATTCATTTTTATGTGTTAGTTGAGAATTTTATGCTGAAATCATGTTATATGCGTAGACAGATTCAAGATTTTGAAGTTTATTGATGGTAGATTATATTCTTTTTGAGTTTGTGACTATTAGACAAATATATATGTTTCTAAGGCACAATTTTGTTGAAATGAAAGTGGATAAGATTTATCTACAATGTTAAAAGATAGTATTTGGTACCAGAGTCAAAGTCTTTGTTAAAGCTTGAAAAATTATAATTTGTAAGTTATAATATATTAGGTATAAATTGTTTTAATTTTAGGGCTTAATTTGTGGTGATGATTGAAAGTTTCTGATTTAATTAGAGAAGTACTTGAGGAGTGTTAATGATGATGAATTTATTGTCGGTGTATTAAATTCAATACTTGTGTGTTGTCAATAGTGAATTTAGAGTGCACTCGATTCGATCAAATTTATTACTTTTTGGCTTAATTCATAAGTTTATAGTATGTTAGAAGAAAATTACGCTTGTGTATGTAAATTTATTGAACTCATTTAGTAGTTATAAATCTTTGTTTCGTTCTATTTATTAATGAGACTTTATCTATTTATGATGTTAAGATGATTTTTATCATCAGAATCAATGACTTTGCTAAAACTCCTTGAAAATCTATAATTTGTAAGTCATATATGCATGTAATTTATTTTTCTTTTAGGGGCTTAATTTGTGGTGATGATTGAAAATTTGTAATCTAATTAGAAGTATTTGTGGGGGTGATGGCAGTGGTAAATTTAGCGTGGGTGTACTTGATTCGATCAAATTAATTACTTTTGGCTCGATTTATTATAAGTAAGAAGAAAAAATAAACTTGTGTATGTATGTTTTAGATGTATGCGCTATTTCTTTGTTGATAGTTGAAAAGAACGAGAAGATTATATATAAGATTTATGATGTAAAGTTGAGAGTAAAACATATATGAAAAGAAATTGTATTTTATGAAAAGAGAAATTGGATTAAGTAGAGCTAAGAATAACAATGGGGCGGAATAGGGTGGATGCAGGGCGGGAGGCTGTGCGGGGCAAAGTAGATATGAGACAAGTTGAAGTAATTTTTTTCAAAACTAATGAGGGGCGGGGCGGTTTTAAGGTTGTTCGGGCAGATGCTTGGCAGGTTGAAGTAATTTTTTAAAAAATTGGTGCGGACTGGATCTATGCGATTTTATGCGGGTTCAAATTTAATTTTAACTTTTTACATGTTATAAGAGTGATAGAGTACCACCCTTCAAGAGTAAGAATAAACAAATTTCATTATTTTTTTATTGGAACTAATATTAATTGAAAATTTCTTTAAAGTTACTAAAATATTCAAGATAGTAAATGAAAAAGTTCAATCAAAACTTATAAGTTTCTTACATGCTTCCCAATTGACCTTTTAAAAATAAAATTTTAAGTCATTATTTATTAATGCAACTTATGAGAAAAAGAAAAATATTAAAAAATTTATACGGAGCCAGTTTATGCAGGGGCAAGTTGAAAATGAAAAAAATTCTTGTGCAAGCAGATTATATTTTTTACAGGCTAACCACAATTCACCCCACACTACCTCGTTACCATCTCTTAGTAAAGCGGATTAATCTAATATAATTTATTTTGCTCCAAATAAATTTAAACTTAATTTATTTGGATTAAATCCACCCAATTATCACCTCAAAAATCACATGGGAAGAATATCTCTGTTTGATAAATATGCGTACAATAATAAATCTTTTAAAGCAAAAGATAAAAACAAAATTAAACTAAAAATGATGTGGCAGATAACATTTGATTGGTTGAAATAGATCATTTGAACACTTTGAATACTTTGCTTGTTTTCATTATACTTTATTATAATTATAACTTAAATTTACAAACTACCACATATAAAATAAAATGACAAGAATAATTTATTTATTTTTAAAAAAAAAACATCAAATATTTAAAACAAATTTAATTTTATTGAAATTGTGATAGTCCTCATAAGGTAGGGTAGGCCCTCGCCTCAACAAAATTAGTACTCCCTCTATTTTAATTTATATGAATTGTTTTAATGTACCTCAAAGAAATTGACATTTTTTCATATCTAAAAATTAAATTAAATTTTAAATTCTTATTAGAAATTATATTCTTAGTGTACTGTAATTGTCGTAAAAATATTTATGAAATATTTTAGAATATTAAACTCTTAGAAGTCGTTTGACAAGTTGGATAAAATAAAATATTTTGGGATTATATTTGTACTATTTTTCATATAAATTTGTACTGTCAATCAAATATAATATAAATCTTATTATTTTTATTTGTCCATTATTTCAAAAATAGATCATCACTTTTAACATATAATGAAAAAATAATATATTACTCAAGAAACGTGCAAAGTTTTTCAAGACCTAATATCACAATAATTAATATGGACATTATGATAAAATCTTCCTATCAAATCATTATTACTCAAGAGACGTGCAAAATTTAAAATGAACAACAAAAAAATAAACGGAATAAACATCATCCCACTTTCCAAAAAATAAGAACAAATTACTACATAGGTTACAAATCCATCATAATAACCCTAAAATAAATCAATCCCCAAATCAAACAAACCTTTAGAACTCGTTTGATACAATGGACAAAGAATAACTAATTTCAAAATTAATTTTAAAATGATTTTATCCCATGTTTGATTCAAATAAAATTGTAAAAACAACTTATTCCAAGAGTATAATGTTACTCCATTCGCTCACTTTTACATGTCACAATTTGACTTGACACACTCATTAAGAAAATAATTATCGATACATGTAATTTACCAACGATCCCCTATTAAATGATGTCTTGAAAAATGATTTGGAAAATAAATATTTAATAATGCGGGTAAAACATGGGAAAAAATAATTGTCTTTTCTTGATATATCAAAAGTGACAAGTAAAAATAAAAATCTATTTTAGGAAGGGAAAATTGACAAATATACCCCCGAACTATCGTAAATGATATGCAGATACCCTCCGTCATACTTTTGGGACACTGGTGCCCCTACTATAAAAAAAACTAGAGCATATATACCCTTCAATCTAATGAAAGACTAAATAGGGACACGTGACACAATCTTATCAGTCGATCCAATATTTAATAAATGTCAAGTCAGTGGATAAGATTATGACACGTGTATGTCCGTTAGTATAAATAGTATATATGCTCTAGTTTTTGGACGGCAGGGGCACCAATGTCCCAAAGTATGACGGAGGGTATCTGCATCCCATTTACGATAGTTCGGGAGTATATTTGCCTTTTTTCCCATTTAGAAATAAGTGACGAGTAAAAGTGAACGGAAAAAATATTTTTTTTCCCACATTAAAGACAGAATATAACAACAATCCTGAAATAACTTATTCTCTCTTAACAAAATTTCGTGTCCAATCAAACATGAGTAAAATTGAGAAGGGTGGAGGGTGGGGGTGGGGTGAGGGGGGACCAGTTAATAAAGTAACCTAACTTAAAAGACCAAAAAAAAAAGAGGGTTAAGTTAGGTAGTAACAAAATAAAATTTTAAAAAAATGTTTTCTTCTTCTTCATCATCATCAACAAATCCATCTCTCCGGGTAAAAATTCCGGTGACCGGAGAAGGAAAATTGACGATAAATGTGAAATCTCCGACGTCGGAGATGTATACAGAGGTTAAAGAAGCAGATAAAGTGAAAGATTTGGAGAAATTGATTAAAAAAGCATGGGGAGATAATGATAATTATATATCACTTTATTATAAATCAATTAAAATGGAAAGTGATCATTTATTATCTTTTTATAATTTGAGAGATGGCTCTATTATTACTGTATCTCTTCTTGCTGAACCTCCTCATCGTTATCGTTATCGTCATCATCATCAATCGGTATGTTTTTTTTCTGATTTTCTTTTCTCTCGAGCTCCCTTTTTTTTAGGATAATTGCATTTTTAGTCCTTCAATTATGAATATTTTTTTTATTTTGATCCTTATAATATTGTTAACTGAGTTGTATTGCCTTATCGTTATAGCTTGTTAAGACTATTGTTAGGATGATTTGTCTTGTTTGTAGTATTCATTTACGTTATTGCTCTCTATTCTACTTTTGATTGTTTTTATCTTGAGTCGAGAATCTGTTGGAAACAGTCTCTCTATCACTAAGATAGTGATAAAACATGGAGTAATAATATAATATATGAAAAACTAAATAGTAGAATAGTTGATAATTATGATAAATTGGGTAGATATTCCATCAATAAAGAAATCAAAGCAATACATTTTAAATAATAGAAGGTTAAATATTATTAATCATATATCACAATTACTGAAAATATAATTGATCAATAATTGAGATACTAAAAATATTATTTCCCCCTTTTTAATTTGGAATATCTTGAATTCCTTTTACTTTTAGTTAGTTGTCATTTTACCAAATTTGTTGAGTATTTAACTTTTCAATTCAGAAATTAATTGATACAATTTAGATTGCGGCATGTGACCCACTTATCTTATCTTATCCAATTAATTAATTACTTGGTTTTTATTTCTTTTCCTTATTTTGTCTTCACATGTTAATTTCCAATATATTTTTTAAAACTATTAAAAGTGCAAATTCTCTTGATTTTGACATTGAGCCTTATGTATATGAGATTTATAGTTGATTGAAATAATGAGAATTTTTTTTTCCATACCCAAGAACTATCATGACAAAAAAGGAAGAAAAAATAAATCCTAAGTAGATGATAAACAATTTAATGAATATCGATACGTTTTAATTACGGTTCATGATTTATGTTGTTCGTATTCTTAAAATTATCATTAAAACGTATAGATTACTTAAAATATAATATATTTTTAAAAAAATTTGACACTAAAACAACAATATTTTTTAAGGAAAAATTCTTTTGGCCAGAAAATTTGGCTAGAATGGTAATAGTATTTTACCTATGTTATTTTACTTTTTTGAACATTTTTACCTTTTTAACTTTAATATCTTTTAACTAAAAAAATAGAAAAAAGATTAATTTATTTATTTTTAAAAAAAAAATTATACATTTTTTTAATTTCTGATTAAATTTTCTGGTCATTTATCATTACCTTTTTAAAAAGTCCAATGAACCTCTAGTTGATCGCAATTTTTAATTGAGAAATATCTTGTTTAGGAGTTGCTTAAATTTCAAATTTCTCAACTTTGGAATTTGGAAATTTGACCAAATGTACTTTGACTAAATCAACTATTTGCCCTTTTAGATATTTTTTTTTAAAAAAAATTCTTTCTTTAATGATGGTGTCTTGGAAATGCAGAAATCTTCATGTGAAACCAAAAAAAATGCCAAATTTCAAGAGGAAACAAGCAGCCGCTCCAATGGTGAAATTAATGGTTGTGAAAGCTTTTTATTTCATATGGCAAAGATGTCATCTCAATTTTGCTCTTCCATATTTTCAACCCATTAATTAATGGATCTGGGAGAAGCGGAAGGAGTTAGAAGTATGAATCGTCCTTTATTCTAAGATATAGTCGATTTTAATATTAAAATCGTCAAGAAAATCAAACTAATATGTTATTATTATCGACATTAATTAACTAAACATCCTAAGATTTTAAGTGAGCTTTTTTCTAGTTTTTTAAGTTTTATAGGATTCATCTTCTTTTTTTTAAAAACGTATTTGTACTCTTATAAGATATATTGGTCTTCATTTGGAGTCTCTTTGGCTTTTAAATATTTTGAAAGTTAAAAAGGGTGAAAAACATATAAAATATTTTTTCTTTTTGAGTTTCATATTTGAAATTCAAATTATCAGCTATGTGAGTTTTCCATTTGAACTATCCTCAAATGTTTATCAAAATATTTGGCACACCTTTGTAATAATTTTTTTTTCAATTGGGTATCTTAACCTAAGCTCAAGTATGTCTAAATATATATACATATACGATGTTGATATGACAACTTGCAATTACAAAAAAACTACCAAACATGATTTATTATATTAGTTTTAATAAATGAATAATCTCATTCGTATGAAGCATTTTTTTAGTATGAAGCATTTTTTTTTTCGAATTAACTATAATTGAAAAGGTATCATCTAAAATAAAAACAATAGTACAATTTTCATTTTCCATTATATAAACAATGTGGTAAAAAAGATGAGAAATCCCAAAAACAATTGTGACATTCAAGGCTTTATTACAAAAGTAGCCATATAATGTAGATTAAGTTTTAAAAAATAGCCATTTTGTTTTGGCCATTACATCCTCAACAAACAAATCAAAGTTTTTCTCTGAACTTCCATTGGCTAATAATGCAATTTCCATAGTTTTTTTCACTTCCTTTATAACCTTCCTCAAATCTTTTGAATTTTCTTCACTCATAAGAAAATTAATCTTTTTTGCTATTTCCTCCTTTGTTATAATTGATTTATTATTAATATCATAATTATCACAAAGATTAATCCCAACTTTCCAATCATCAACCACCAACTTTCTATTAGTTTGTTGATCAACACTTATAGGATGACATATCATTGGTACACTTGCCCATAAACTCTCCAGAATCGAATTCCATCCACAATGTGTCAGAAACCCTCCAATTGCCGAATGCGACAATACGGCCCGTTGATCACACCACGGTACAATCAACCCTCGATCTACATTTTCTTGAAATCCAGTTGGTAAATAATTATCCGTTTCGTCCGTAATCGCCAAATTAGGTCTAAGTACCCAAATAAAATATTCCACTTTGCTAAGCAATAATCCTTGAGCAAATTCCATAACATCTTCTTTGCTTAAACTACACAAGCTACCAAGTGAAAAATATAACACTGAGGATTTAGGTTTAGTGTTTAGCCATTCCAAACAATTTGACTCTGGCCAAAAACTATTGGAAATTTTGACATTTTTTGATGAGTTGACTTGATGATCATGAAAAATTGGACCAATAGCAAAAAAGGGTTTTTTTTGTTTTTTCTTGGAATGTTGAAATTACTTTGGATTCAAGTTCTTGTATTGTGTTACAAATTATAATGTCTGATTTCTTGGCTTCTTCAAAACCTTTGTAGATAATTTGATGAAGAATAGTTGATGTCTCTTTTGTTTGTAAATATGAAGGTAAATCACTTGGATCAATTGCTGAAATTCCTGGTATATAATCTATGGTATCCTTTCTATTATCTATAAAAAAAATATAGCAAAAGTTAGCCTAGTAATCAACATCATGATGAAGTTAATTAAACATAGATAATGTAAGGTTTTTTTTTCCATATATAATAACCATGGGGTATTCGGAATCTACTGATCAACTAATTCAGATCCGATTCATGTAGACCCTAGCAAAGGGAAAGTGGAAATCAATGTGCTTGAACATTAGGCCTTTAATTTGGTTAAGAGTAGAGGGATCTCAGATATCTCACTCACACCTCAGTGTAAAGTATTTTTACACTATCAATATATTTTAACGTGTTCTAGCAAATTTGGTTTGTTTAACTTTTTAGTTTACTAATCAAATTTATTGTAAGGAATTTTTACACTACACAATAGTTCAACAGAAAATTTCCGGTAGGAGTGACTTTATAGGATAATAGACCAAACATTAATGGTTTTATTGTCACGAAAGAAACAAAGTGACTTTACTAGGTAATTTCTATAAGTTAGATGACCGTACTAGTAAATAACTCTACTTGAAATTGTTTGCTGTATTGCTCGGGCTCTCACAAAATGTCGACATGTGTGTGTCGGATCCTCCAAAACCAATTCAATATAGAGGATGACAACATTTTTGACAAGTTTGAACAACATGACAAAGGGGATAGAATGAAACTTACCAATTGAGCCAAAATGACCATTTTTGAGCAAAAGGTCAAGATGATAGTCTATAGTAAACACCAAAGCAGGTTGAGTGAAGAATGAAACACTAACAAGTCCATACTTATTAGCAATTGTTGTCCCCCAACCATAGAAAGTGTCAACAATCAAACAAGTTGGTCTAGGACTATCCAATTCTACTAACTTCCCAATAATTTCATCAACATGAAAAGGGTAATTTAGTAAAAATCCTTCCCAAAACTTCTCGGTATTCGACCCCGAAAATCGATCAAATTCTAAGGGAAAACCATCACAAACTGTTTGATAATGTATGTCAAGGCCAAGTTCTTGAAATTTTGCAAATATGTTATGAGTTTGGTCTAATTGTTGTGATTTGGTTATTTGGGCATGGGTGTACTTTGTGTTGATAAATGTTATGGTAAAGCCTTTTGTTGCAAGTTTTAGTGAAAGGTGAATACTAGGATTTATGTGGCCTTGAAATGGGCATGGAATTACTATTGCATGAGGTTTTTGGTTGCTTTTTGCCATTGTTGTTTTTTGACCCTTCTTGATAAGGCTACTCTTATATATAATCTCTCTTTCATTACAAATAATAATGAGGGTGTAGAAGAATATACTTTATTTGCTACGCATTTAATTGAACTCAATATTTTCGATAAAAATACTAAGATTTACTTTTTTTTTAAATGTGATAAGATGAATGAGATTTCTACACTCACTACTTTAAATATAATCTTTAGCTGACGGTAATAGCTTAATTGCCGCTAAATATGTATTTTTAGTGATTATTAACATTTTTTGTAAATGTCTCTAAAGCCTATAGCGACACTAAATCAAATGGCAAACTAATGACAATAAAGATTTTAACAATTTTTGATAATGTAGACATTTATTACCGTTAAAAGCTATTTTGTTATAGTAACTCTTAATCAACGATAGACGTTCGAGCCTTGAATTTGATCTCAATCATAATTTCCTACTCTAGAGGAAAAGCTACTTTCATTTTGGACCTATTGGTTTGTAGGCACATGCTCTAATCTTTTTGAGATATCGACCCCACCTAGTTTTCACTAGATTTGTTTACAAGAATACCCTCCAAATAAAAGAATCGAAATTTCTGATAAGAAGCAATTCTTTCCTAATTGAATCAAGTAATTTTAATTATCAAATGTTTAAATAAAAGAATCACTAAAATTTAATAAACATTATATTTTGAATTTATAATTTTGGAAATATAATATATTTAATATTACAAATTATAAAGGTCGAACTCAATCAAATTAAAATTTTGAATAGATGCACACCTAATTCTAGTTGATTGAGTCTGAGGGATTGCTTAAAGTATATAATAAGACAATAAAATGTAACTTTCTGATAGATAAAAAATTGACCCCTGCCGGCAAATTATTGTCCTTTATTATTTCACAGAAAATATAAATTTAGGCAGTTGAACATTATCTCAACATCAAATTTGTCAAGGGGTAAAAAATTATCCCACTAGTAAAAACAAAATATGTTTTTTTTTTAAAATGGGATTTAATTACCTAAAAAAATTATATTTAGTCTATGGAAGATAGTGTAAACATGTGTTATTATGTCTTCATCAAAAGAAAATTACAACTTTGTTGAATACGAAAAAGGTGTTGGTATCTTTATGAAACGGTCCCAGCCTTAACGTGAACAAGTGTTATTCAAATTGTATTCTTTCTCTTGTATCTGTCCTAAAAGAATTTAAACCCTGTCTTGCTAAATATTGCACTTAAATAGACCCTCTTTTTAAATTAAGAATTCAAATTTTCTTTACCTTTGCAACTTTTGTAATTTTCTTATTAACACTATATTGCTAAACAACTTTTATAAGTTTCTTATTAATAACCTTGTTATTATATATCTAGCAAGGAGTGACATCTGAATGTATATTTTTATTCTTTTGATTTCATATCCATATCCATACCCACATTTTAAACCCGACTAATCTAAATTCATGTCAGCATAGAACCCACTAGAGAAAAGCACACCCTACTAAAAAAATCATATTTGAGATTCGAAAGCAAAACCTTTGCACAAGGAACCATCTCATCCCATGCACCATATCCTTTGACAGTAATGTATGGTATATAAACATTATATGGAGTATAATTCTAATAAAAGAAGAGTCAAAATTGAAGTATGGTAACATATTTTGAAATTTTGGTTTCCCATGTCTATTTATAAACTTTCACATTGTTTTGGTTGTCGATTGTATAATATCAATATCAAACCTTGTTATGCCAAAGTTGAGAATTTGCAACATCTATGAGTCAAAAAAACAAAAATAAATTGGCATTTTTACGTGCTGCACATAAAATTCTACACAATGTACACATCCAGAGACACCTGAAGTACTCTCAAGAGTTATATTTTGTACATTAGAGAGGGAACGTTTGTCCCATTTCAACGCTTTTTCTCTTTTCAAGCGCTATGCATACTTGCGCGTTGCACACATGCACGAAGTTCTGGACTTGAGATTGTTGTGACACACCTATAAGTTAGCTGAACTAAGTTTTTAAGTCGAGAAGCTTAGACTTCAGAACCGATCTTTAAATCTGAAGTCTTTACAGGTTCAACAACAGTAGATCCAGGTTCTTTCTTGTCCAACCCAAAGAACGAGCAATTTTGGAATGCATCCAGACTGTTAACTATGAGGCGGTTAAAACCACCAAGACTATCACTCAGAGTTATGTCTTCACTATGATATCTACATGAAGGGGCGTCCAGTTCTAGCGGTCCTAAAGAGTCTGTCTGCAGAGTTGAAAGAGATGAATT